GGGGAGGGGAGAGGAGAGAGGAGAGGCAAGCAAGCAAGCACCCTATTCTGTGCTAGCCAAAATAGTTGATCAGATGCTAACTCCCATGATGACTGGAGAGTGCCAGAGAACAGCTGTTCAGTAGACAAATCAGGTAGAAAAAAGCAATTACCTGATTGCAGAGGCACCTCCAGTTCTCCTAGAGGATTACCCCGGAGGCGCACAAAAGGAAAACTCTGGATCTCTGGAGGGATGCTTCGAAGCCTATTATTCTGCAGATCAAGCCTGGACAAGTTGGGCAGGCAGGCAAGGGAAGCAGGAACAGTTGTCAAAAGATTGCTGTGAAGATGCAGCTGCTGCAGAGATTGTAAATTGGCTGCAAGTCAGAACACAGATTAAAAATTAAAAGAAAGAAAACGTAGCCTTGGTAAAACCAAATGAACACATACATGCACATACCTCTCTTACCCTGCCCAGATTCCAAATCCCTTTGGAAAACACCAGGGGTCTCATGCCGACCCAACACAATCTAGTAGTTAAAGACACAAAACCAACCAACAAACCACTGCATACCTGATTTCTTATTCTGTACATGCACACTGCCACACCATCTATAAAGAAATACCCATGCAAATCAAAACGAATATATACAAGGAACATCTAATTAATAAAGGCATAAAGGAAATCAGGCTTAGCCTATTATATATTCAGGGTTACAGTTGATTGCAAAGATGCCATCAACTATTAAAATTTAAATCCTATTTTTCTGCCCACAGGGTGTAGGCTCAGTGTTTTTTCCTAACCCAGAGCACTTCTTATTCCATCACTACAGTGCTCCTGGAAGGAATCCATGCCTTTTTCTTTAATTTGTGAACATCTTACCAAGAGAACTGGGGATTTCTGTTAATTCATTTCCAGAGAGATCAAGCTCTGTGCAGCTGTGCAAGTTCCCAATCTCTTCCGGAAGTGATTCCAGTGCGTTTTCAGAGAGGTTCAGTGTCTGCAATGCTGCCAGCCCCCCAATGCTCTGTGGCAGACCTTTGAGCTGGTTCTTCATAGCAGAGAAAACAGTCAGCTTGGCAAGCTGGCCAAAGTCCTCAGGTAGCCTCTGCAAGTTGTTGTGATTGACTAAGAGAAAACTGAGACTGGCCAGCTTCGTAACGCAGGGAGGTAAAATGGTGAAGCTATTGAAGCTGAGATCTAGATGAGCAAGGCATTTTAGCTGCCCAAAGTCTTGTGGCAAAGATGCTAGCAATCCTTTCTGACATGCACCAATTTCATCCCTGAAGTGTCCACCTGCAGGCAAACAAAAGTCAAGAAGGGAAGAAGTTTGCACCATAGCAACTTCATATAAATATAGGTATATTTCTTGAAATAATTAGCAAGACAGAATGGAACTTTAAGGAATGCACAGGAAGCTAAAGAATGCATACAACAATATGATACAACTGTAGTGAGTGAATGTTTGGTGAAATTCTGCTGCTTGCTTTCAGGGCACAGTGATAATAAAAGGCCAAAGCAGAGATGGTTAAATTCTCCATGAAAACCAGAAAGGGAACACACAGCCACTGTTTTGGCCTCTTGGTTCACTAACAGTAGCTCTCCAGTGACTACAAATTACTAAGCTGGGAAGCTGCAATTGAGAAGAGAGAGCTATTTGGTTTATATTCAGCGTTAACTAACCATTATTAATACGTATATTAATGACAACTATGTTTCTAAGGGGTTTTTTTTTTGGCTATATATTTACATAACAGCAAAAATATTAGGCTCACACTCATACATAGGACTGAGCTGTGTGCCACTAACTTTAATAGGATACCAAATTTGTAGACTTAACCTCTCCATATTCTATTCAGAAATAACAGTGTAATTCTGTGAATATGCATCCAGAATTAAGATCTGCTGATTACAATGGCTTTACTCTAGGAAAAATAGGACAAAGAATCCAGACTTAATTATATATTGAAATCTCCATTGTACAAATGAAAGGGGGGGGGAGGGAATAAGTAAGATATACTGTAAAGAACAGCATCAAACATCATCTACTGTGCTTTTACAAACATATATACCCCACTACATGTTGAGCAACATTACAGAAAATATTGCTGGTTTTATCCGATGAATGCTGTAAAAAGATGAGGGATGAGAAGAAATCTATCTTCCACAACAGTTTAGAAATTTTACACAACTCTGTTAAAATGAGTTGAATATGCTGCATGATTGTGAAATCAAGATTCATATAATCTTTAGGAAGACAGAAGCTGGAGGCATCAGCTCCACTGATTTAGTATTTTTGGATGCTCCCAGATGTGAAAGCATCTGTATTTGCCAGGAGTGCTGTACACAAATTGCAGCCTTGCTATCAGAGAATCCTCCATCATGCTTGAAGTGGTGCTCCATGCCAGGCAAGAAAGAATCCTGTAGGAAAATGTGGTTTTTGTTCTGTTGAAGAATGCTAAGGCATCTTTCACATCCTTATTTGCAACTAAGCCCTATTAAGAAGCATGAACCACATCTAAGTAAATGCACACACCTTCTGCCACACACCTTTGTGAAGGAAAGTGGTCCAAGGACATTGGTACAAGCTACAAGAAAATGAACCAACCCATCAGGACAGAAGAAGAAGAAGCTGTGAATGAGAGCATTAGAAACAGGTGAACAAAGTAGCCAAATAAACATGCAGTTACCTTTCAGCACAAGAGATTTCAAGCCTGTCAAAGCAGGAAGGGTGCTCAGGGTGGAAGTGATAAGGTCCTCATTGCAGTTCAGCCTCAAGAATTCCACCTGTTCTACTTCTTCTCTCCTGCTCTCAAGCAGCTTGAGGAACAAACGGCAGCTCTCAGGATAGACGTCTAGGTTCAGGCGGTTGCCAGCCAAATAGGAAACAGAAAATGCCCCAGCCCCCAAAGTGCCCTCCCCTGGAGGGTCCCTGAGCTCTGGCAATCCTGCCATCTTCTGGTCTTACATCATCATGGGCTGTACATGTTCTGACTTGCCAATGGTACTACAAATCATTAAAGACGGATGAGTGAGGCAGCCTCTGGGGAGAAGAGATGGGAAGAACATGAAAACAGTTTAGGAAATTATGGAACCGCACAATTAGCCTGGTGAAGAATGCCACAGAGATTGCACCTGAGCAAAAAAGCTGTCACTGAGAAGTCCTGTCTCTACAACCAGTTATCCTTTTATAAAGCAGGCATTTATTAAGTGATAATTGCTTTTACATTTAAATTGGGAATTTCTTGTGGGCAAGATTGGTTACCGTATATTTCAAGCTTCCCAGTGCTTTAAGGACGATCTCCCTAATACATTCACACAGCCAAATCTCATAAAATAGCCCTCTTTTACAGATGAGGAACTGATAGGGAAATTAGCCATAGGAAATACTTTAAAAAAAATTAGGTGCAGTTTTTCTCTTATCAGCATGACTTCTATCCCAACCACAAAGCATATGACAGCAATGCTGCCTTTTATCACATTTCTTTTGTATTTGAGAGCAGAGTCATCTTGTCACCAAACAGTGCCAGGATGAATCCAGTAATTAATATAATTACATTATATTGCACATTATATGCATATAATATTTACTGAGCAACAAGTCTCAACTGAGTTTCTTGTAATGTATCCCAGGTTTGCACAGCGCTAAAGCCCCAATTCGTTTTCTACATGACTTATTATTTCCTTTTCTAAGCATTAGCTTCTTTCATTAGACAGTTTGGAAACTGTTAAAGAAAAAGAATCCAAAGCCTCATTTATTAATGAGTTTCAAATTAGTATGTCTAATTAATCCAAGAGAGCCAGTTTGGTGTAGTGGTTAAGGCATCAGGCTAGAAACCAGGAGACTGGGAGTTGTAGTCCCACCTTAAGAACAAAGCTAGCCAGGTGACCTTGGGCCAGTCACTCTCTCTCAGCCCTAAGAAGGAAGCAAG